TTCATGGTTCACTCCTCTAATGCTAATTGTTATAGTAATTACTGTAGATACATAGTTAACCCTTCCAATGGCTAATTGTTATAGTAGTTATTATCTTCATGGTTCACTCCTCTAATGCTAATTGTTATGGTAATTACTACAGACTCACAGTTTACCCCTCCAACTGTTATGGTAGTTAACAGTTACATGGTTGACTCCTCTAATGCTAATTGTTATAGTAATTACTGTAGATACATAGTTAATCCTTCCAATGGCTAATTGTTATAGTAGTTATTACCTTCATGGTTCACTCCTCTAATGCTAATTGTTAAGGTAATTACTGTAAATTTATGGTTGACATATAAAGAGATAAGGAGTGTTGATTGATTTGTAGAGCATAATGTAAGTTACTGTAAGAATATATATATGGCAAGCTTTATGATACACATTTTTAACATACTACCAATAAAGGTATTTACAATAAACAAAGCACAAAGTCACACAAAAGGTACAAGTGAGTTACTGTCACACGAAAGGTACAAGTGAATTCTGTTACAAAGTCACACGAAAGGTACAAGTGAATTACTGTCAAAGTCACACAAAAGGTACAAGTGAATTACTGTCACAAAGTCACACGAAAGGTACAAGTGAATTACTTTCACAAAGTCACACGAAAGGTACAAGTGAATTACTTTCACAAAGTCACACGAAAGGTACAAGTGAATTACTTTCACAAAGTCACAAGTGAATTACTGTAACAAAGTCAAGCAAAAGGTACAAGTGAGTTACTGTCATTTTTAATTCAAATTTACCTTAAGGATGACATCTGGTCCTCCAGTGTACGAGCCAGAAGTGTCTCCACGAGGAACAACGTAGCTCACAGTAAATATCAAGTCTGACCCATACGAATACAGCTACACAATAGAACATGGCATTTACTATTTAAATGCTAATAAATTTATTCATGATTATAAAAATGTAAACTTCTTATTGTAAATAAATACTACTAAAATTCAGCATGTAAAGACAAAACTAATATAAATATAACCAATTCAAATAATAAAATCGTTTTTATTCTACTAAGAAGGGTATTAATTCTAAATTGCACACAAAATACCAATCAAAATCTCTCTCTAGTATAAAGCTTCAGCTTACAACAGAATATTTTTAAAGCTACCAACATTAAAAACCAATCAGTTTGTTAATGCTAATACATTATGGCATTCTTCAATCTTTAATTATCATGATGTAATTTTCTAATTGTTTTTAAAGGGATTTAAAAATCATTCAGTATTATATTATATTATTTTTATTTTATCTATGTTGTTTCAGTTGATTCTCTTTTTTGAAAAAATACTTTTTCTATTTCTTGTCTATTATCTAATTTTATTTCATTCTATGTGCTTTTTTTTTTACAAGATTATACATATTGGCATTTCACTGCACTTGTTTCACACAAGCAGTTTGTTCAAATTATCACAGTGTGAAAGTTACATTTTCAATTGAAAAACAAGTAATTCCTGTAAGTATTTTTATATCCCACTGAACCACAAAGAACAGAAAAGAGAAAACAAAAGCTTTTGTCTTCTCAAACTTGTAACTTTTTAAAAACAAACATCAGTGCATGGCTTCTTAACAAGTAAAGTGACAATAACACACAAGAAACAGAACAGTGATATTGTTACTTAAATTCTAAAAAATGAACTAAACACTCACCTTTTTACCCAGGTATGCTGGAGGTGATTTCCAATAATAAGTATCAAAATTCTGCACTTCATCGGAACCAACAAAAAATTTTCCATTTCTTTGAAAGGCATTAAAACTTTCTGTACCTTTTATGTCTGATACTGACCAACCTTGTGTATCTATTATCTGGAAAGTTTACAATGCTTGTTATTTTTAAATTTTAGGTCATATTAATGTTATTATAGCTGAGGTGTAGTAATAGCTGAATAATTATATCACAAATGACAAATTAAAGAATAATTAAGTGTGTAAGGACATGTTTCTACGGATGATAAAACAAAAGAACCATAAATGAATTAAATTCATTAAAAAATTAACAATGATAATCAAAAAATAAACAAGAATGAATTTTTTTACACATAAAAAAGACTGAAAGGCAATAACAAAGTTATCAAAAGTATAAAACAAAGAAAGAATGAAATACAAAATGCTTTGCCAAGTTAAATTGCATTATTAAATGTATGTTTTTTGCTTCCAAATAACTAAATTGTTTAGTTTTAATTACAGTTGCTTCTGTGAATGTGTTATTACTGTTTAACCAGAAAACTGTGTTCATTAAAAATACTTTAAGGGAAAATGAAGGGAACAAATCTTAGGAATTACTAGACCACCTATGACCTGTTAGGTCACCCACTATTCAGAGGTTATGAAAAATTTGACTGAGAAAATTCTCATTTCCTTACCTACCATAACCAAGGCACATTATTGAGAAATTCTTCAAGATCTTGTTATTGTCATCTTACACCTTTTAATGAAGATGGGAACATTGACAGGGAAATAGATTTGAATGAAGAAGTTTCGTAAAGTGCACAAATGGTGATGTGACGTAAAATTGCTCATGCTAGAAATTTTTATAAAAGTAACCTGAAAAATGGCGCTAACTCGGTAACCCATGGCCCAATTTTAATGAAACTTGTTTTATTCTGTTTCTATTATCATTTCTCATATTCTATTTATATTTCTATTCTCATATTGTGCACCGTTTTTGATGTATTTAATTACAGACAAGCAAACAATCTCAGAGTTTTAGTAGTATATATATATATAGAAATATATACATATGTATAACTTTATTATTATTATCATTATTCAAAAAATGGCTTCATGACTAAGTTTAAGAAACTGAACAAGCTTATTTTAAAAACTCCATAATTCCAAATGATGAAGATATAAGTTTAAACAAAAAGTACTTAATGTCCAATTTGTTTATCATCATACATTCTCCTTATCAGAAGCAGAAGAAATAACTCACAGTTTTAATGCCCCAGTCACTTTCCTCGCAGTTGTATGTAACACCCGAACAAAAACAAGGTGAGCAACCTTCAGGATTTTTCTCATCTAAATTGTAGTGCCCGGGTTTACACTGATCACACCGAGGACCTTCAACATTTAGCTACAAATAAAAATATTACAGAGATTAGAGATTCAAAATAGGGTGTGTATGATAGTTATTTTACAAGAGGCCATTTTATAACTTAATAAAAACTTCAGTTTCAAGTAAAGATATTACCATTTTTGATAAATTAATATCTCTAATTAAGATTCATGCCCTTAACAGTACTGGGATGTGAGAATTCATGTAAAATTCCAAAATATTCAATATTTGTATTTCCAACACATATTTATCCTTCATAATTATATATTTCCCTAGTTATCTGCAACTCAAAACAGCTCTGTACATCTTATTCAATGTTTGTTAAAAATACGTTTCATGTTTTACTTTTTAATAAGAAGCCTATACAGCTACAGTTCAAATTGTTTGTTTTCACTGTAATAGACACTACAAAGTGCTTTGTATGTTTTTTTCTCACAGCAAATAAAGAAGTAAAGCAAACAATTATCTCTTTTAGTTACGGACTTTGTACATGTTTGCTGCTTGTTGTAGGTTGCTAAGCGTTATGAACTTTCCCACGTGGAGGATGTGAAAAAAACATTTTTTTAGGTTTTATATATACATTTTAAATAACCAATAAATCATAAATTACTATATTGATACCATAGAATTCCACTGTAATTTATTAAGCTTAGTAATTAAGCTGTATTTGGGACTAAAAAAATATGAAATTTTGAGCTCATTAAAGACTTGCCGTATCGTTTGAAATCTGGTGTGAAAAGAACGAAATTAACACAATAACATGTCAAAATGACTGAAAAAAATCACTAGGGGGACATTCTGAGCTTTCGATTCGTTATTCATGTCATATATAGAAGTGTACATAAAGAACCGTTTCCAAAAATTAAAATAGGTGGGCAGGGGTGCCACTGTGTTTGATTCAGTACATGACCAATATTTTGGCAAATAGAAATAATAAGAGGCTCTTATTTTATATTCTAGCTTGTCAATATCGGTAGTTTGAGTTCCTAATTTGTATGAAACTAGATTTTGTATTTTGACATCATAAACATCCAATTTGAACCAGTGCTGCATTCAACATACCGCATGACACACAAAAATCGATGTTTAGCCGTGTTTTTTAATATTTACTTTTAAATTAAGAAATTAACTAATGTACAATACTAAAATTTGAATTATAATCTACAGTTTGATACCAAACTTATTGACATAAATTCATAAAATTGTAGTTCAATAAAATTTTGAATGCAAGTCAACAAATGTGATGACATGGCCTTTGACACATGACCTGTCGCAAAGGGGTTAAAAAGTGTGTCAGACTTTCTGATAAGACTGGGCATTTAGCAATTTAAAAGAGGTCTCTAAAATCTATAACAGACAAGAGGTCAATAATTTACTAGTTCCCTTACTTTACAAGTACATTCTCCTTCACAAGTAGTTCCACTGATAGTGCCTGCAAACAAGCATGGGCAAGGTGTACACTGAGGATAACTTCTGTAACCAGCAGCACATTTCTCACACTTTTTCCCAGTGTAGCCTTCTTCACATACACAATCTCCAGGAAACTAGAAAAGTCAGTGGGTCTTGTCATAAGAAGCAAGTATTTATGCATTTAATAGCAAGATATTCTGTAAGTTCATTGCAGAAAACCTGTATGTAATGGTGCTTTATAAGAAAAACTTTTAATAATAAAAACATTGTGTATATATAATTGTCAAAGTGAAGATTATTCTATAATATTGTTGCGTCAACGAGATCACGTGACAATTCTCACGCTCTCTTGTTTCTAGAACTATCCCGTATCTTGGCGAATGGTCTAGTATTTACAAGAAATAGGGTACGCTGGTATATATATAAGAGGGGAAAACGTGACGCGGTAATGAAAGGTAATGTGTGTGTAGATAATGAGTAATTGATCTGCGGTCAGAGTATTATTGACGTTCGTTGCTATAGCGTTTGTTTAGCGCGATTGTTGAGTGTATCGGTTAAGTTATATTCGGAAAGAATAAACCAGTTTTATTAAGTAAAGGCTTGTGTCGCTTAAGTTTCGTCGGTACGAAGTTACGGAAAATCAATTAAAAAACGGAGACGTAACAATATAAAACAACCCATTCAATATTATAACACTATTTACAATATAAAAAGCTGATAAAAAATGTAACATAATCCTTTAAACAATTATAACAAAATTGATAAACAAGAAATATTTTGGTGTAAAAAAATTACATCTGAAAAAATTATATGCATGTTTTTGATCACTCATTTATTTTAAATATTTTGTTTTCAATGACAGCATGAATCAAAATTCTAAATATTAAAATTTTTATGAAAAAACCTTTGAAAAACAGAATAACTTACAGAAAAAAAAAAATGGGTTTACACACTGATTGCTATTATTGTTTTGTTAAATTTATGTAATGATAGTTAAAATCCAAACAACACAAAAAAGAACTTACTAAGCCTTCATTAACGTGAGAATCATCCTTCACACAATTTCCTGTAGTACCAGGTCCAGAGCAGTCACATTTGACACATGAATTTTGATCACGTCTTGATACACCAGATGGTCGGTAATAACCATCTTCACACGACTGACAATTCACACCAGAAGTATGGTGCTGCAAAACATATATCATGAACTATCCAACTACCCTTTTATCTTCAGCATAAAAAATACATCTAAAGATATAAAACTTCACATTTCAAATAAAATGCTGAATCCATCAATATTTTGAAAACATAAAAACAATTCCAATCACTTAAGATCTAAAGTGTATGAATGTTGCTAATGAAATTTTATTAGATCAACAATAGATCTTTATTAATTATTAAAATTTGACTTTGACATGAATTACTTAAATACTGCTCACTAATTATTGTAATACTCCATATAAACTTAATAAAATTATCTCAACAGTATTTATTACCTGTACATGCTATATTAAATAATTTGCTCAAAACTCTCTGGAAATTATTTTCATAGACCTAATACATTACCTCAATTGTTTGGATTATTTATCTAAATATTCTTTATTATCCTAACATTGTAAGATAAATATCTAAATAACCCTTATCAATTATGTCAAAACCATACAAAAGTTAACCTCAATTATTTAAATATTTTTCATTAATTGACTTAATATGCTACTTCAAATATGCAAATACTCTTCATTAGTTATCACATAATATATTACACAATAATTATTCTCCAGAAAAGGTTTTGTTGAATTCCAAAGATCAAAAAGTTACATCACTCTAATACACTTGTAGTGGCCCTTTTCAATATTCTAAATATCATTTGAACTATTAAGCAAAACTTTTTCAAAAAATTCTTAAATGTTAAAATTATTATTTTATACTTCTTATGTTAAATCTTTAGAACAAAATTTTAACTTTTTTTTCACTTTTCCATGAAAATATTATATCTATACCTGTCCTAAGTTGAAAAAATCTAAAACTTGAAATGATGTATAACTATCATCTTTAATATTTTGTAAGTAAGTTT